TTACCAGATGACCACAAATGGTGAAAATCTGCAGTGTTTTTATATGTTTACACATTCACTTCTCACGTCCAGTGTTTATTTGACGCATACAATGATTCCCTGAATCCAAATGTTCACAAACCAGACATGACCTCTTTTTTGTTTGGGTTGTATATGTTGTGAAGATCTTGTTAAAACTATGAAATCAGGCTCATAATGACAACATTAAATCATATCTTTTTGGATAATTACTTGCATGAGAGAGAGAGAGAGAGAGAGAGAGAGCAGTACACACTTTAAGCACTAGAGAGCACTGTAGACTACATCATCTACATCAGATCATGATCAGATCTCCTCATGGATTGAATATGCCTTCTGCCCGGATTTACTTTCTTTCATTCTATCGCTCAGTATAATCCCTTTAACCTACAGTATAAACAACAAAAGAACCTCATGAGTTAATTGAGTGGATTTGTATCATACTTTGACTGGTATCTTACGCTGGACTTGAGCCTAATCCATGATCAACTGATTCATTAGCAGAACACAAGTCCTGAATATACAGGTGCATCTCAATAAATTAGAATGTCATGGAAAAGTTCATTTATTTCAGTAATTCAACTCAAATTGTGAAACTTATGTATTAAATAAATTCATTGCACACAGACTGAAGTAGTTTAAGTCTTTGGTTCTTTTAATTGTGATGATTTTGGCTCACATTTAACAAAAACCCACCAATTCACTATCTCAACAAATTAGAATACTTCATAAGACCGATAAAAAAATTTTTTTTAGTGAATTGTTGGCCTTCTGGAAAGTATGTTCATTTACTGTACATGTACTCAATACTTGGTAGGGGCTCCTTTTGCTTTAATTACTGCCTCAATTCGGCGTGGCATGGAGGTGATCAGTTTGTGGCACTGCTGAGGTGGTATGGAAGCCCAGGTTTCTTTGACAGTGGCCTTCAGCTCATCTGCATTTTTTGGTCTCTTGTTTCTCATTTTCCTCTTGACAATACCCAATAGATTCTCT